AATGGCCTTAGCATATCATTAGCATATTATGTTTTGATTGGTTGAATGGCCGACCAAATGACCAGACACTTAGCATATTAGGCTTTTATATTTTTAAGTATACCAGATCCAAATAAAGTTATTAGAAGTAAGAAATGGCTGCAAAATGGGGAATTGTTCAGTTATGTTTTCTGAACCTCTTTCCTGTGTGTGTGTGTGTGTATGTAACCTCAAGAAATAAGAATAATAGTACATAATTATATATATGAGAACTCATCTTTAGTGACTAGGGAGTCCATGGATGGTAGTAATTAGTAGAATAGTGGTATAGTTGACCCTTTGACAACATGGGTTTGAACTGCACAGGTCCATTTATATACGAATTTCTTTTCAATAAGTACTATAAATGTATTCTCTTCCTTATGGTTGTCTTAACATTTTCTTTTCTCTAGCTCTATTGAAAGAATACAGTATGTAATACATATAACATGCAAAATATGTATTAATAGACTTATTGGTTAAGGCTTCAAAGTCAGCAGTAAGCTGTTAGTAGTTTAATTTTTTAGGGAGTCAAAAGTTATACTCAAATTTTAAACTGTCAGTGCCCCTAACTCCTGTGTTGTTCAAGGGACAGGTATACATGGGATAATTGTATATCATGTCTCCATCTATTAGAGACATCTTTATTTTTTCCAGTATGGGTTTCTGCATGGGCAGCACCCAACTTAGGTGGCATTTGTACTATTAGCACTGTTAGCAGTGGAGAGATACCAGTGTTCTGGGAACTATTAAGATAATGTTCGAGAATTATGGTGACATATATTTAATTATGGGGTTATTTCTACTTGTGGATGATCTAAATCGAGGTGAATTGTGTTCCAAATTCATAAATTAGTCATGTCTGTACTAATTTGTCTTCTCATCTCCCTGTTTGTGTGTGAAAATTTATGATTTTTCATACATTCTGTAAAACTTGAGGAATTTAATGGATAGGCCCATTTTAAAGGTCCTATGAATATAACTTCATTAACTTGCTAAATATTTAGCTTAAAACTTTTCTTTCTCTTTTTATTCAAACTGTAGCCCAAATCTCCTGCTCATTTGTCCTTGATAAGAGAAGCTGCAAATTTCAAACTCAAATATGGGCGGAAGAAGGAAGCAATTAGTGACCTAGAACAGCTATGGAAGTAAGCTCTGAAAGGTGGAGATGTAGAAATCCAGATTTTATTGCTGTTATTTGATATGAATGAATTATTTTGCTTGTTTATGTTTTCTTCAGTTTTATAAATTGTTAAATAACTTTTTTATTTCTTCTTTTAGACAAAATCCAAAAGATATTCATACCCTGGCGCAGCTTATTTCTGCTTACTCACTTGTAGATCCTGAGAAAGCAAAAGCGTATCCTTTTGATTGTTCTAAGCGGCTCTCAAGTTGCATAGTAGATCTCTTCCAGTACCTGTTTGACTAGGACTTTTTCTGTTGTAAATTTCAACAAACAAAACCCTCTTCTTTAAAAAAATTTTTTTTTTTTTTTTAAATCAGGAAGGGAGAGGGAGAGAGAGATAGAAACATCAATGATGAGAGAATCATTGATCGGCTGCCTCCTCCCCACCCCCCCACTAAGGATCAAGCCCACAACCTGGGCATGTGCCCTTGACTGGAATTGAACCCAGGACTTTTCAGTCTGAAGGCCGATGCTCTATCCACTGAGTCAAACCAGCTAGTGCCAAAACCCCCTTCTAACTAGTAAAAATAAAAGTGAGAATTTAGTGATCAGTGTGACTGAAAAATACAGTGGTAGATCCAACTTGGGGTACAACTTGATCCACAACCAAAAATGAAGTTCATAACATATAGCTTAGATCTCCATGTCCAAATTCAACAGAAAAAAAAAACACAAAACCCAACACAAAAACAATAGACAAAAAGCAAACAAAACCACAAAAAATGTATTTTTTTTTTGGATACTAGTACATGATTCTGAAATGTCACTTTGATTGAACTGTTTTATGTCACATGCCCATCTCAAAACAATAAGAGAATGGTGCTCTAATTGGCTGAGTTTGGATCATGTGTGCTACTCCAATATGGGTGTGTTCCCAAAACAGTGGGTGGGGTGGTGAATGTTAAGTCATAACCTTTGCATTGAGCAAGCCTGTGTTTTATACTCTTAATAGCTGTTTTGAGGAAATGGAGTTTTTATCAAGCTATGACCTAGAAGTATGTCACTGAGTTAAGGAATAGATGATTAGAAGATAACTCATTTTTTGAGTTTTCCTTTCACAATATATAATATATAATTGACTTGATGACTTTCAGGTTTGTTGTTCTATAAAAGATTAAGAACATTTTTTGCTTTTGACAAAGGGCATCAAATAAAGAGTGTGTTTCTCTTTAGGCATAGATCTATCGTTAGGCATATATATGTATTTATATTGTGTTCCTGAACAACTCCTGTTCTATCCCAGTCTTAGTAAACACTTGCCCTCGTCAGATAGTATGTCTCTGAAAGTAGATGTTGAGGCTCTTGAAAATTCTGCAGGTGCTATGTATGTTCGGAAGAAGGGTGGAAAAGTTGCTGGAGAGAGTCAACCAAAGGAGCAAGGGTAATGTTTTCCATTCTAACATTCACTAATGCTGATTTTAAATTATTTGAGGAATAAAAATACACTTATAAAAATTACATGTGAATAAGGTTTAAGTCCCCTTTGTTTCTTTTCCTTCCTTTTCTCTGTGCCCAACTCAGTCCTCGTTTCCTCCCTCGTCTCTGGTCCAGAATCAACTTCTGGTATTAACTTAGTGTGTATCCTTCCAGATCTTTTTCTTTGTATTTACACACAGACGTGAATTAGAAATATTTTCCTTAGGTTGGATTATTTTTTGTTTTTTACAGAAGTGGGGTTCCATTGTGCTTAGTGTTTCAAACTTGCTTTCTTTCATTTACTAAGTCTTGCAGACATATGCTATTTATGCATAGGCTGGATGGGCCCTACTTTATTAACCTATTAAGTTCTTGGGGGGGGGGTGGCGGGTGATGTGGGGACAGGGACACATATGTAATATCTTAATCAATAAAAAATATATTAAAAAAAAAGTTCTTAATATACATTTACTGTATCATTTAGTAATTCTAAACCACAGTTTTGATCTTTATTTTGCTGATTTGGAGGAAAGGTTAGCCAACTTCATTAACTTATATAAAGTCAAATTCCAATTTTTTCCTTATTCTACATTGCCATCTCAAAAAAAGCAGAGGCCTATGGTAAATGTTTAAGATTTTATTTTTGACTCAGGATGAATAGAGAATGGAAAAGATAAAACATTTCCTCAGTTTTGTGGTTTTCTTATTTTTTCACTATTTTCTCCTTTTTTGAATACCTTTCAAAATCTAATTTTTTTGTAACTTTGAAACAATATCAGCACCAACTTTATATGATTGACTTCATTATGAACTCTGTGTTTGATATAAAAAAAGTATTATCCTCGTAATAGAATTTAAAAACTTAAATAGGGAATTGTAGTCTCAGAGATATGACATTGTTCCATTTTATCATATGATTCTGATTTCAAGCCTTATAAAGAACTCCAGAATGAAATGAGTCCAAGCCAGATCTTAAGGGGATTTTTAAATAATGCCCATTTAAATATTTTCAGTATTTTTTCCCCTCTTTCAAAACAGGGTTGGGTGATTAGTAAGAACATACAATTCATTTCTAATCCTGTACAATTTTTAAGACGTACATTGAGGTTTTAAAAAGTATCTATTTTTATTTTTATTTATTTCAGAGAGGAAGGGAGAGGGAGAGAGAGATGATGAGAATCATTGGTCAGCTACCTCCTGCAGACCCTCTACTGGGGATTGAGCCCACAATCTGGGCATGTACCCTGACCGGGAATTGAACCGTGACCTCCTGGTTCATAGGTCGACACTCAACCAGTGAGCCACACCGGCTGGGCTTTTAAGCTTTTAAATTTCTGCACAATATTTTCATTAAGCATTATTAACGTTTTTTATTTTATGTTAACTTTTGGATACAACTGTTTAGTTACTTTTTAAGATACACTATGTTGTTGACAAAATATAAATCATGGTCCTTGCTCTCATAAGAACTTAAGTATAGCAGAGGGAGTATATGTAAGCAGTAATTGTAATAAAGATTGCATGTGCTACTATTGTGCAGGGCATTTGGGAGTACACTAGAGGGGATGGATCTTCCTCAGGACACTGGCAGGTTAGAAAACACTTCATGGAGGAGGTGACTGGGTTGACTAGAAGAAAATGAAACAGAAGAGTTAGGCAAAGTGTGAGCAAAAGCAAAGAAGTAGGAAATGGTAGAGAGCCTCTAGGAAATTGCAGGTATGATTTGTAGGGAGACAGTGTATTGTCTAAGGGAGAGATGAAGCTCTAACGTAAGACACCGTCTTACTATAGGGTGTACCCTGAAAGAACTCACAATGAATGACTTGATAGAATGACTTTTTAAAAAATTCTCACTTGAGGATATGTTTATTGATTTTAGAGAGAGAGAGAGGGAGGGAGGGAGGAAGGGGGAGAAGGAGAAACAGAAACATTGATGTGAGAGAGAAACATCAATTGGCATCATGGGTGCCCTGACTGGAGATCGAACCCGTAACCTAGGTGTGTCCTGACAGATAATTGCACCTGCAAATTTTTGGTGTACAGGATGGTGTTTCAACTAAGCCACCTGGTCAGGGCCAGAGATATTTTGTATATGTTCCTTTTATTAAAGTATATATTGTTATTGATTTCAGAGGAAGGAAGGAGAGAAAACATCGATGCTGAGAGAGAATCATTGATTAGCTGCCTCCTGCACACCTCCTACTGGGGATTGAGCCCACAACCCAGGCATGTGACCTGACCTGGAATCAAACCATGACCTCTTGGTTCATAGGTTGACCCTCAACCACTGAGCCACACTGGCTTGACTGTGTTCCTTTTTTTGTTATTACTGTAGCTGTCAGAGTACTTAGCAATTATTTTGAGTGTTTTCTTGACTTCTTATGCTCTTTTAAATGCCCTTTAGTTGGAAAGGGGGGGGTCAGTGTACTTTAAATAAAGATTTTATTACCTAAAAAGTTCAATAGCCCTGGCTGGTGTGGCTCAGTTGTTAAAGTGTCGACCCGAGCACTAAGGATTGTGGGTTCCATTTCTGGTCAAGGGCATGTACCTGGATTTCAGGTTCAATCCCTGGCCCTGGTCGGGGTGCATGTGGAGGCACACAATCAATGTGTGTCTCCCACATTCATGTCTCTCTCTCTCTCTCTCTCTCTCTCTCTCTCTCTCTCTCTTTCTCTCTTTCTTTCTCATCTCCTTTCTTCTCTCTCTCTCTCTCTCTTTCTCTCTTTCTCATCTCCTTCCTCTCCCTCCCCTCCCTCCCTCCTTTTCACTCTCTAAAAATCAGTGGAAAAAAATCCTCAGGTGAGGATTAACAACAACAAAAATTCAATAAACTCACAAATTTAGCCCTATATAAACCTGAAAAATAAAAATTAGCAGAATAAAATGATGTGGCTTTCCACCACTCTCTGCCCTTCTGCCTACCAAGGTCAAAATCAATGTTACTTATCTTACATAACCTACCAAAGATACTCTTTGCATATATTATACCTGTACATTTTCTTCTAACAAAGAGTTTAATGATCTGTTCTTGAGTTTTGCCAAACGTGAGGTAATTTATTGTAGATGTTGATGCTTGTGCAAGTTTTATCTTTTTTACATAAAGTTTAATATGCATGTACTAATGTAAATGGTATCTGTTTTCTGAAAACAGTTGTCACCCCTCTTTTCTAAACCCTCTCCTATAAATTACAGTGTATGAAGCTTGATTAAATTTAACCTAAATAAACATCCCAACTAGTCTATTTATTAACTTTGGTGAGCCCTCACTTAGCAAACCTTGAACACCTTTATGATAAAGTACTCAGCTTGCTCTTTTGCACATGCGTAATGCTCTATATTTTATGCTGATGGTAATTATTTTTGTTCTCTTTGTAGACAGGGAGATTTGAAAAAGAAGAAGAAAAAAAAGAAGGGTAAGGCTTTTTAAAAAGTCTTTAGATTTCTTTCTACAAGATAAAAGCTTGAGGTTAGCCCTATATAAAAACGTTCAAATATATTGGCCTCTTGTATCTTTGAATACTTGAGTTTTGTCTTAACTATAGCTAGTATTTAATTTTATTACATTAAAGAGTACAACTCTGGAGTTTGCCTAAATTCAAATTATTGCTTGAGTAACATTGCTCTTTCACTATGACTGTGAACAGATTACCTAACATTCCTGCCTGAATTTTTCATCTGTAAAAGGAATTTGATGGTATATACCTCATATAATTAAATAAGGTACTACATGTAAAGCTCTTAGAACACTGTCTGGCTCGTAGTAAACCCTGATACATTAGGCTGCTTTTGGCTGTAAATACCATAGAAGTCCATCAAACTGGTCTAAGAAAATTTGCTGTTTATGAAACTGTCAGTGATGTTAGCATCAGAATCAAAGTTGGTTGATCCAGTAGTTGTATCTTTTTGTTCTGCTGTGCATAAAACTGGATCCCATTAGAGTCTTGTGATGTTTGTTGGAAAAAGTAACATACTTGTCATTTATATCCATCAGGACAAAGAGGGTCCCATTTGGCAAATCTTTCCTATTATTCTGATTAGGCTAACATAGGTCATTGTCCAGCCCTGAACCATCCAGGGCAGTGGTTCTCAACCTTGGCTGCACATTAGAATCACCTGGGAATCTTTTAAAATCCTGATTTCTGGGCCTCATTCTCCAGAAATTCTGTTTCTTCGTTATGGGGTGGGGCCACAACATTAGTAACAAGTCTTGGACATAATGTTTAAATGATTACCTTGAAAACATTATGAACAGATTCCTCATTTCTTCATCAATTAATTGTTACACAGGAAAACTGCCTAAGAATTATGACCCAAAAGTGACTCCAGATCCAGAAAGATGGCTACCAATGCGGGAACGGTCTTACTACCGGGGAAGAAAGAAGGGTAAGAAGAAGGATCAGATTGGAAAGGGGACCCAGGGAGCAACTGCAGGAGCTTCATCTGAACTGTAAGTCATTGCTTCCTGATGGAGGTCACTCAGAGCATAGGTTGATCCTTCTGAGATTGACTCAGGGTCATTAGTGTGAATTTTAAAATGTATTTTAAGTATGAGAAGTACGGTCAGATATCTTTGATGGTTTTTTTAAAAATATATTTTTATTTCAGAGAGAAAGGGAGAAGGAGAGAGAGAGAGAACTCAATGATGAGAGAATCATTGATTGGCTGCCTCCTGCATGCTCTCCACTGGGGATTGAGCCCGCAACCTGGGCATGTGCCCTTGACCAGAATCGAACCAGGACCTTTCAGTCTGCAGGCTGACGCTCCATCCACTGAGCCAAACCAGCTAGGGCATCTTTGATGTTTTGCAATACACTATTGTAAAGGAAAGAAAATGTGGTATTTCTGGTTGGATTGTATTCTAAATACTTGGATTTTAAGATTGTATCATAAATAATAGGATTCCAGTAACTTCAAAAGTAGACTACATACACTGAGTCATCCAATAAACTAAATATCTAGATAAACAAAGATATAAATAATGTGACTAAAAAGAAGTATTAAAAATGTTACTGCCCTGGCCGGTGTGCTCAGTGGTTAGAGTGTCAGCCCACACACCTGAGGGTTTGATTCCCAGTCAAGAGCATGTACCTGGGTTGCAGACTTTGAACCCCGGCCCAATCGGGATATGCTTGAGGCAACCAATCAGTCGATGTTTCTCTCTCCTCTTTTTCTCTTTCTCCTCCTCTATCCCTCTCTCTACTCTCTCTTGAAAAAAAAGTTACTTGCCCTGGATCAGTTGGTTGGAGCGTCATCCAGTACACCAAAAGATTGTGGGTTTGATTCCTAGTCCAAGGCATATACTTAGGTAGTGGTTTGATCCCCAGTTGGGGCATGTATGGGAGGCAACCAAGCAATGTTTCTATTCCCCCCTCTTCTTTCCTCTCTCTCTAAAATCCATAAAAACATCCTTGGGTGAGGATTTAAAAAAAATGTTACTAAATAACTCATTTGTATATGGTAGGATTATAAGTCATTGAAAATTTTTTCTTTATTTTCTAAGCCTTCTAAGAATTGGCATGTACCATATATTACTTATCCTTTGATTATAAAGCACTAAACATTTTATTCAAAAGGGATAAAGAGTTGGGGAACCCACTTTAAAATAAATAGAATGTGTGGGAGATTATTAGGGGTGGAAAGTGAAATTCACGTGTGTATGTTTTTATAGCCTTTTTCTTTGTTGAATGTATGAATGACTGACACTTTCCTGATCTGATGATTTCAGGGATGCCAGTAAAACTGTGAGCAGCCCACCCACCTCCCCAAGACCTGGCAGTGCAGCAACAGCATCTGCATCTACAAGTAATATCATACCCCCAAGACACCAGAAACCTGCAGGGGCTCCCGCAACAAAAAAGAAACAGCAACAGAAAAAGAAGAAAGGTGGAAAAGGCGGCTGGTGATTAGAACATTCTTGTTGCAGACTATTTTTCAGCTAGTCTTAGGGACACTAGGAATATAATAAAGAACACAGCAAGAAGCACAGAGCTGCTCCCTCTCCCATCCCCACATTTTCACCAGATTATTTTCTTGTGCATCAAAAAAGAAAACGTCTTCCTCAAACTCTGCCTAGTCAGACTTAGCCTGCTTGTACCACCTAGCTTTGCACAGAAGACGAGAACTCAGAATAATTGGGATTTACCCACCTTGATATCTGTTTCTTTGTGTGCTGATCTGGAGGTGTTTGTTTTCAGTTTCACAAACAAGGCATGTTATCTAAGGTTTCCTAGGTTATAAACAGAAGTTACTTCTGCTGTTTTAACTAGAGTCTAAAGACAGTTGTTCTTATCTAGTCCCACTTTAAATTATGTCTTAGAAGGTCTTGGGAGACTGAAAGTGGAATCTTCTGAGCATTCCAAATATCTACTTAGAAATATCATGTGATAAAAAGGGACCTTATTAGTACACTGGTGTTCTTCACTTAGTTACATGAGTGGCCACAGGAAAACCAAATGTCTTGATTAATTTTTGCCATAAATTCTGTTATGTGATATTGGAATATGGGATATTATATATATACATATATAGTAATAAAAAGTATGTATGTGTGTATGCATATATATACATGTATATAAATTAGGACTCCTTTTGCCCCCGTATCAGTTTCAGATTATGATAACATGGTGCTTATTTAGCACTATAAAGAACTCAAAGAAAACCAATGTTGTAAGAAGCTGACCCTTAGCAGTGTTCTTAGGTCAAATGGGTTTGGATGGTCTCAGTCAGATTTAATGTCCCCTATCAAGAGCATGAACACTGACTTCCTGTGTAGAGAAGAAATCAGTAGCAGAGGTCAGTAGCAGGCAGTATTAAAACTCAACAGTACTGTGTGGCCCAATTAATAAATACTCAGATGGCTCCTCTTTCTAGTTAGGGCAGTGACTACACATTACCCTTCCCAGAGTGAGGGAATGTTGTACAGTCAGGACTGCGTTGTCGGTGTCGCTCTGGTCTTTCCTTGCTTATAAGCCACTTTCCCATTGAACAGCTGTGAGACAGATGCCCACTCTGCCTAGTATTCATTTCATGTACCCCAGATAGCATTGAATTTAGATTTAAGACTTATTTCCTTGTGATCGTATTACTCCATCCTTGTTAATAAAGTGCTGCTGTGTTTGACTCCGAACATAATGAAACATACTGAGACATCTTCGAAGAGTTTTTTAAAAGGCTTTCCTCCTTTACAAGAGTAAGAAATGTGGTGCTGCCTTTCTGTTTAACATAATCAGAGTTTGCAGTGGTATCTAAACAAGAGACGGGCTTACATATGAATGGTTTATTATGGCATAATACTTTTTGAGCTCTCAGAGAATAGTCTTTTGGTAAGAGTGACAGATATTCATTCCTTCTAAATATATACCCCATTACAAGAATAATTGTTAGTAAATTTGTTATTTAGGATTCCATTAAATTTCTGTGGTGAAGGATAATCACTTTTTGGTTTAACTAAGCTACCGAATTTTGGTGAAAATTATCATTAAAATTTTGACACAAAATACAAAGTGAAATATATGGTTTTCTAGCCAGTCATTGCTATTACCAGTCATTACTAAGCAACTGAAACCTCAGTTCAAAGAAGTTATTGTCAAATTAAGTGTAAACATCTACATTAACTTTCTGGTAATTATTTCTCTTTTTGGACAGCTCTTTAACCAGTGACATATACACTTTGTATATATGTGTGTGTCTACATTTATAAAAACCAATATGGATACATCCATTCACTGGCACATTTTAAAATAAAATATTCTAGCAGTGAGTATGGATTGAGATGTTTTGGGTGTTGACATTTTATGGAGGACTTCCTGGTTGGTACATCTGAGAATTTTTTAAACTGAGTATCTAAAATCTCAGAGCATTGGCCTGCAGACTGAAGGGTCCCAGGTTCAATTCTGGTCAAGGGCACATGCCCGGGTTGTGGGTGATCAATGATTCTCATCATTGATGTTTCAGTCTTCTATCTATAATAAAAAAGTATAATATGCTAATTAGACCGGACAGTCTTCCGGACGCCCTTCCAGACAAAACTGCAGTGGGCGGCGGCCATGGCAGAGGTGGCAGAGGCCCCTGGCCACGGAGAGGGGCCTGCGCCAAGGCCCTTGCATGAATTTCGTGCATCGGGCCTCTATTAAAAATATAAACATAAAATAAAATTCTCTCCAGCCCCTCTCTGCAAAGCTACAAAGCTAATTTAATGGGGTTAAGAGACCCCAGCTTTAACTTCACTGAAAATCCATCATGTTGATGAGTGTATATAAATAAATTGAGGAGCAAACATTAAGTTATTAAGTACAGCATTTTTAAGACTACTTGAATACTGCTAACAAACACAGCTGCAACACTAAAGCCTTCTGGATCCTGCCATTCATTCATTGTTCCTTACAAGCCTAATTGAAATATAGATCTGATGAAGAAAAGTCAGTTTATTGTGTAAGAGAATTTTGTTAGTTTGTGAAATATACTAGGGTCCAATTTAACAAAAGAACCATCCATATACTCAGTTAAGAAACATTACACAACCTTTTAAAAGCCCTGTGGATTTCCTAATTTGTTGCATAATCATTTGGAACAAAAACAAATGATTTTTCTTTAGTTTTTATTTTTTCAGAGAGGAAGGGAGAGAGAAACATCAATAATGAAAATCATTGATTGGCTGCCTCCCTGGGGGGGTCGGACCTGCAACGGGGGCATGTGCTCTTGGCCTGAATCGAACCTGGGACCCTTTAATAGGCAGGCCGACACTATCCACTGAGCAAAACCGGCTAGGGCTAGTTTTTTTTAATACCCTGCATTCCTAGTAGCTATGATCCTGGCAGACTTAATTTAATCAAGAATTTTTAAAAGCGAAATACGAGAATTTGAAATCGGGACCATTCACCTTCCTGTTTTCCCTTGAGCATCCTGGACAATTTCTAGATTCTACTAGTTAAGTTGGCACAGGCTGGAGGGCGAGGAGATAACCGACTTCACTTTGCAGGCTTGAGATTACTAACGGGATAGGCGGGGAATCCTCCGAGGACCCTCAGCCCTCCGACCCCTCGGGGTTCTTCTGATGGGAGACCTGTGAGCTGGGTGGGCGTGGAGAGGTGAGACGCTTAAATCTGGGCCGCTTGGAAAAGGCCTTTTTGAGGCACCCTGTCCAGCTCAAGGGAATCGCGCCATAGTGCCCCTCCCGAAGAGTGGCACCTGGACACGCTTTTTCCTGCGTTGCCAACCTGCCACGGAGGGCTTTCAGGACCTGACCCTCTAGCTCCTTCGCCTTCTTCCGCCCTCAGGTTTGGCGAATCTGCAGCACGCAGCCCTGGGAGATGAGCGCCCCCGGAGATGAGCGCGTGTACCAGATGCCCGGTGGGTGGCAGCCCGCACGCTGTAGTGAGTGCGGGTGTGGTCTACGCCACGTGCATCTACGTGGATCTACTACTCTGGCTGCGCGCCCCCTCCCGCCCCCACAAGGGCCACACCTGCCGAGACTCAAGACCGCTGCTCCAGCGTGCGGGCGCGCAGGAGGGAAGGAAACGGGGACTGGAGATGGAGAGGGGGAAGGTGAAGAAGAAAGACAAGGGAAAGGAGCCGGAAAAAGGAAAGGAGGAAAAAGAGAAAAGGAAGGAGGTGGAGAAGGAGAAAGCTAAGGATAAAGAAAAGGAGAAGGGAAAAGGGAAGGAGGAGAAAAGTAGAAGTAACGAGGAGGAAAAGAGAAAAGAGCGGGAGAGAGAGAAAGAGAAGGAACAATTGAAGGGCAAAGAGGACGACAACAGAGTCTTAGGAAAGGCCCTGCTGGAGCCGCCGGTAAGAGACTGACGCCTCGGCCCCGCTCCCCAAGGCCGTCGTTCAGGCCCCAGCGCCAGCTCTGTTACGTCCCAGACCCCTACCCAGGCGGGAGGGAATGGCGTCTGCTTCGGGGGCTTTTCACCTGTGTCGCTTCTACCGCCCCTTCCCTCTGCCCACCCTCACCCTAGCCCCGAGCTGCATCTCAACCCTCATCAGAATCTAGTGTTGAAGAAGAGCCGCAGGGAAAGATCCTTTTGCGGCCCCGCCTCTTCCACTGCTCAGAACCAGGTCACAGACCGCCCCCCAACACAGAAACCCCCAACACAGAAACCCGCCCTGAACGCCCACTGCACACGGGCTCGCTCTCTCCAAGTCCTTTCTGTTGAGTAAGTTCTTTGGCGGAAGGTGTGGGCTGGGTTTCCGAATTGTCTGGACCTTTTCTGTGGGCGTTGGTGGTTACTGCTTCCCTGTTTTCAGACATCCAGAAGGGATGGCCACAAAGGTTTAACGGAGAGATCTCAGAAGCTAAAAGATAAATACCTATGACTCCACTTATATGAGGTACCTAGAGTAGTCAAAACCATAGAGACCATAGGATGGTGGTTGCCGGCTCCTGGGGGAGGGAGAACGGGGAGTTAGTATTTAATGAGAACAGTTTCTTTTGCGAAATGAGAAGAGTTCGGGAGCTGGATGGTGGTGATGGCTGCACAACATTATGAATGACTGTGTTTCATACCACTTAACTGTACGCTTAGAACTGGTTAAGATGATACACTTTGTTATGTGTATTTTACCACAGTTTTAAGATTGGGGGGAGGTTGGGGAGAGGAGAGAAAAGCCAGGCATCACTTGGGTCAGCTTAGTGAGCTCTGTGCTCCTGAGCTCCTGGGCTCAGGGCTGCTTCCGGTTCTAAACAATGTAATTACTCATATAGATTTGATCTTCGGTAAACCACAGACTGCATAGATCCACCTGTAATTAAAGGAATAACTTCTGACAAGGAACAGTGGTGTTAGGAATCACATTTGTGTGTCTGAACTATTGCTTTACAATAATCCCAGATTTCCTTAGATTATAAACATAATGAAGCATGTGGTTTAGACTAAAAAGTAAGCAAAATGTAAAGCATCAGCGCCTGCTGAATTTCTAGATTAGGGGGAATGAACTTAGGGCCAGTGATGTGGTCGGAAAGGGAGTAGGGAACTTTTTTTTCTCATGATATTTCACAGGCTCTAAGAGGTCATTATTTTAGGTACCACTAAGAAAGACCAAAAAAAAAACCGTTTCCAACCAAAGTAAGACATACCATGGATTATAAAATCCTCATTAAAAGATATTAAAATGCGAAAAAAATTATCTTAGAATTGATTAAATATTGAAGTATTCTGAGAGGGCCTTTGGTGGAGATAATGCGGGGGACAGCAGCCACACCCTATAGTCATTTCTTGGTGCCACCATTGCTTTATATGGTGCAATTTTAAACCATCCAATCAAGTCTCCGTTGTACATCAAGTCACTCTTCCTTACCAGTCACTCCCAGAATGACAATATAACTTTTAGATGCAGCCCAGCCAGTGTGGTTCAGTGGTTGAGCATGGACCTATGAACCAGGAAGCCACCATTGGGCTGGATCCCCAGTAGGGGATGGGCAGGAAGCAGCCAATCAGTGATTTTCATCATTAATGTTTCTATCTCTCCCTCTCCCTTCCTCTCTGAAATCAATAAAAATAGATTTTAAACAATAGATGTAGGTGGGAGGGAATGGGGAAGGTTGGGATGGAGGTAGGAAACATCTGTGGCAGGGGTCCTCAAACTTTTTAAACAGGGGGCCAGTTCACTGTCCCTCAGACCGTTGGAGGGCGACTATAGTTTAAAAAAAATCTATGAACAAATTCCTATGCACACTGCACATATCTTATTTTGAAGTAAAACAACAAAACGGGAACACATACAATATTTGTATTTGCATGTGGCCCACGGGCCGTAGTTTGAGGACCCCTGATCTATGGAAATACCATTTGCTTTAAAACCATCAAGAATTTAAAAACAAATATGCACTTTTTCAAATTCTGTTATTCGGTAGGTAGTCTTCATAAAGCATGCTTTCTACACAAGTCTGGATTAGACCAGACCTTAAAACAGTGATGGCGAACCTATGACATGCATGTCAGAGGTGACACACAAACTCATTTTTTTGGTTGATTTTTCTTTGTTAAATGGCATTTAAATATATAAATTAAATATCAAAAATATAAGTCTTTGTTTTACAAGGGTTCCAAATATCAAAAAATTCCTATATGTGACACAGCACCAGAGTTAAGTTAGGGTTTTTCAAAATGCTGACACACCGAGCTCAAAAGGTTCGCCATCACTGGTCT